ACCAGCCACAAGGGAAAACAGTATGGAAGTTCCTCAAAAAACTAAGACTTGATCTACCATATGATCCAGCAATCCCTCTACTAGGTATTTACTCCGAAGACTTGAAAACCCATATCCAAAAAGATATTTGCACATCGATGTTCATAGCAGCATTATTTACAGTCGCCAGGATCGGAAGCAACCGAAGTATCCTATAATAAATGATTGGTAAAGAAGCTGTGGTACATATATACAATGGAATATTACTCAGCCATAAGAGATGAAATACTGCCATTTGTGACAATCTGGATGGACCTCGAGATAATCATGCTAAGTGAAATAAGGCAGACAGAAAAAGTTGAAAATCATATGATATCACTTATATGTGGGATATAAAACCTAAAAGCAACAAATGAGCAGGACAAAAAAACTGGGTTCATGGACATGGAATGTAGACTAGTGGTTACCAGAGGGGTGGGAGAGGAGAGGTAGATGGGGTAAAGGGGACCAAATATAGGGTTTAGGGGGAGGATGAAGGAGATCAAATATATGGTAGCTGAAGGAAACTGGACTTTGGGTGGTAAACACACAATAGAATATACCTATCTCAAATGATAATGTACACCTGAAAATTGTATAATTGTGTTAACCAATGTTACCCCAATAAACTTAAATTTTTTTTTAAATTTGCAGATTTCTTCTATCTGTACTGCAAAGTAGAAATTTGCACACTGGAAGTCACACATGATTTATTCACTGTAACTTTGTTATAAAAAGTATCTATGGAGGGCACATGACTGCATTTTTTTGACTACTGAACTATCAGATAAGAACTATTTTTTAACATTACAGATCAAAAATTTTAAATCAAAATACAATAGAATTATTGCAAAGTACTTTTTAAAAACATACTCTTGTATGTGTTACAGTTACCCGATTTAATCTTTGTATTTTTGCGCTGCTCAGGAAACACCAATAGTAAATTTGTCACTTAAATGTATTTTCCAAAGAAATTGCTTCCATAAAAGGAGACTTTTTTTTCTTTATTCTTTGAATTGGCAACATGAAAAAAAAAATTTAAGAGTTTTTCTAAAAACAGAAGCAGAGCTTCTGCTTTAGAAATTGTTCTGTGTGGTTAATTCAATAGGGTACACTAAGTCAGGAAACTTTGTTTCTAGTTTCTGCTCTACCTCACCTAGCTCTGTGAGGGAGAAGACACCATTTAACTGGTTTTACTCATCCTTTGAAATACTTATCGCAATTATGGTTATCTTTTCCCCCTCTACGGGACTGAAAGACACTTGAGTGCTGGGACTTTGTGTATTCATAGCTCTATTTCCATATCCAGCACATAAGTTACTCGATATTCATTGAATAAATAAAATTTTTTAATCTGTAAATTGAGGCAGTTGGACAAAATTTCCCACGTCTTTTCTGTTTATGATTCTGATATATATACATTTACTTTGAATTACCTAAGCTCAGACAGTTGAATTTTTCCCTTCAGCTTGTTTCTGGCCTTTAATTTCTTACTAGTACTTTTTTCCAAATGAGGACATTTTTGTCCTAATTCAACTTGAAGATAAAGCAGTACAGGCAGCTAGAGTGAGATTATGTTTAAACAAGGAAGGAGTCTCTGAGGGAGTGATGATGTTCTAATTTTAACAGATGCTAAAACATGATTTTTTGATGAACCTCCCAAGAACACAATCCAGCAGTACTAACATGGTAATCCTTTGTGCCAACAAAACTCCAGTAACCTCAGTGAGAAGAGCCATGGCCCTGCAGTTGAGTATATATATTCCTTTAATGTTAAGTCAAAGCCATTACAATGCATTGTTACAATGAAAATCTTTACTTATCTTGGAAGCCCACTCAATTACTTTGAGCGACATGACATACAGCCCAACAGATACAATGAAATCACTGACAACTCATTGAAATGTTACAGCTAAAATACAAAGAGTAATTGGGTAGACAACCGCAATAAAGCATTTATTTTCCTGCTGTGCTCAACATTAGATGACATATAAAATTCAACTGGGAAAGGGAGTTCAAAAAACTGAGTTTCTTCCTTGAACCAGACTCGGATAACAATGGAATGAGGAAAATCCTAAGTGGGAAAGTATTTCATTAACTGTGCTTTCTATATATTTTCCTTGCTACCTATTTCCAGTTTTAAACCTTAAATTTGTGCATCTGGGTACTATTTATTTTATCTCAAGTACATTGTAATACTAGGGATTCTTTAAAATTATTTTCTATTTACTGTAAAAAGTACACTCAGATAAGAACTCTGTAAAATCACTTTCTTTTAGAAGGCATCAAATATTCAGGGAACTTTTATTTTTAAAGGATAAACCAAAGACATAGTTTTCATTGACCCAAACATGCATAATCCATCTTTAATAAAAAATGCACTCAATTGGAAAATTACACATGAAATAGAAAGGGAATGCAACTTTACATACGTGAAGTGATTGCTAGCTATAGCAATTTAACAGTCAAATTAATAGAAATTGTACATTTAAAAAAAAAACCAACATCTTAAAGCCCATTATCTACAGTACACCAAGTAAAATTCTGATATGGAATGGTTTGACTCAAAGCAAAGAATAAGGCACCTGATATGAATTTAGAATAACTTTCGTTTTTAAAGTTACAATAAAAGAGTTAACCAAGACACTTGATTTAAAGAGGGAAACAAGTATAGGGTTGACTTCCTGGGTGAGAAAGGCAGGTAACAATGACATAAAAACCTGCTGGCGGCAGGTCAGCTGATTCCTTTCCTATTCTAGAGTAATCAAATTCCTAAGCATCCTTAATCACTCCTTTCCTCATTCTCCCCCATTATTTGGGGTATGAGAAGTTCTTTCTGAAGTTCACACTGTGGATAAGCTAGGTAGCAGATTTCCCTTCTGTTCCTCTTAAACCAGTTTATTTTAAAAGAAATATCCTGAGGCAATTAACAAAGCAAAAGAGTAGCTCTCTTTCCAATTCATTAATACATAGACACCTCTCAGGCTTTTTTGATCAAGTTATGGGTATTTAAATAGCCAATAACTGTAATTTTCAACAGCATCAGAAAACCCAAACTCTGCCTTCTCACTCAGCCTTACCATTAGTAAAAAGTCTAATCAACCATAACCTATAAAATCATACAACAAAGGGAAGACTGATCCTTATCAGTAAATCCATTTAATTCCAGATGACACTTTAGTATGTTGTATCTAGAACCCTAACAGAATTTTAATTGTAAATCCAGAAAAAGCATTTCCAAACTAAGTGTAACTTCTTAGTTGATGTGCATTTTTTGGTATTAAAAGTGCTATTAACATGCTAAGATGTCTTATGGCACATTGGACTCAATAGTATGTCCTGATGAGGCATTCGTTTTTAGTAGCATTTTTCCCTAAAATGTTGTCTAACATAGTAGGACCCCTTTGATATATTAAAGTAATTCTAATGAAATCAATGGTGACATAAACAAACCTTCCCTGACTCTACTCCACCATGATAGCTTTTGGTGAAACTGAAGTGACTGATTAAGTTACAAAATGTTCAACCAAGTTGTTTGTTTACATTATCTTAGGTTAGTATATTCATTCATGCAAAATCCAAGGTAATGTAATAGAAATGTTGTTAAAACAGACATTGTGGCTATAAGCATCTCCCTTTATATTAAGCATTTAGAAGCTTTTAAAATTGTTTAGGTGCTAAAGATTGTGGGAAAACTAGGTTAACTGTGTAGTTGTTCCATTTACAAGCACCTTATTACAACAGTTACAACAGTTACATGACCCTATATGGGAGTGTGCTTTCAATTCCAGATATTGTAATAAAGTGTCTACCTATACAAAAACTGTAAGATTCCAAATTTTAAATTAAGCTAATTGCATTTACACATTAGGGTTAACAATATGTAGGCTGTCTACACAGACTTAATCTAATTATTGATACTGTATACTATTTTAATAACCACATTAAAAAAACTTACTCTTAAGTGACTGAATAAGTAGGGTCCACTACTGTAGCTTAACAATCAAATTTTATTGCTTTATTCATGTGGTGCTTTTGCAAGGCACTGTGGTATGGACTAGAAAACTTGGAATGACTTGTGAAGAAACCTTGGAATGACACATGAAGGATGATATGAAAAGTCATTCTGAGGCAGGATGCTTTACTGAATTGTTTTTAACCAGGGTATCAAACATCAGGAATGAGTTCAAGTTAAAATTCACAGGAGAATGGAACATCTTAAGGTCAGTCACATCACATGCCCATCCTGATACTTTGAATAATCTGGAAAATTGCTGCAAAGAGAAAGAGCAAATATTAAAACATGCTTTGAATAAAATAAGTCTGACGAGTGACAGATATTTATTAAGGTAGTTCAAGCCCAAAGTGCCCTTAAACAATTACTTGCAAATGCTATGTAACTTCATTCTAATAAGAAAGAAGACAGGCCTACCTTAACAAAACAATTAAATGTCCATGAGTTATGTTTTTAAATCTCGGCTTTTCTGCGTTTTATGTCTAAATGTGTGAGAGAATTTAAAAATAAGCAATCATTTTAGAAAGAACTTAAGGTACCAAAGCAAAAAGGTTTTTGAGCATAGAATTACTTAGGTTTATCACTAAATATTAAGTGTCCTTTGAAGGCCTGGCCTATAATATATGCATGTTTCCTCATTCTCGCAAAGCTGAAATTCAATAATCTTTAGGTTATATAAATTGCTTGGCTCTTGGCCATTTATAGGCAAAGCCTCTAACTGTTAAGTATAGAAGACAGGCAAAGCAAAATGCTTAAGAAAAACCTCAATAACTTTAGAATGTCAGAACATAGAAAACAGAAACATGTACTTCAAAATTAACAGCTTATATAAGATAAATGAAGAGAGAAAAGACATTCTGTAAAAATGTTAAGTCTATTACTCCAATGGCACGCTGCCCTGATAACGAATTTTTCCTACCATATGTCAAACGTTTCTTTTATTAATCCAAAAAAGTACGTTTCCTCTATAGCCAATCAATTCTTTGCACTAGCTTTACTTTGTGAAATATACCCAGTTTTGACATAAAGACGTTCGATTCTGGGACATGTTAAATTAAGTTTGAACATCCACATGCACATAATGTTCATAAACCTCTTTTTTGCAAAGGTATTGATAGTGGGGTTGCAAAACATTCTATCCCCTTCTGTGGGGTGTTGTTTTGGTCTACATTTCTTCCAACTGCATAATTACAAAGGACCTGACCTTCTTTTTTGATCTGTGAGTACAAATCAAGGTGGGAGAAGTTTCTGGAGCACCTCTGTGCATATGTGGGGCAAGTAAATTGGTTCAGATGAAATAGAATTATGTGGAGCTCCCGGCAGGAAGGTTGAGAACTACACGGTTAAGATTCACCGCTGATGGGTCACCACGTCATCCCAAACCCTACCCGACGGTAGCCCCCAAAACACTTACCAGAACCACAAACAACAAAAATGAAGAGAGCCAATAACCAGGGTCCTACAGATGCCTTCTCTTCGGGAGCATTTCTCTGCAAAAAGAAAATGCACCGTTTCAAATGCAAAAAAAAAAAATCCAAAATACAAAAAACAAAAAACCATTCCGACCCAGGGCTCCCATAGCCTGCACTCCGGGCCAAGTCTCCCCTCCGTTCTCGAGCCTCCCAGCTCCGGCTCCCACCTCCTAGAACCCCCCAACTTAACGTCCAGCTCGCGGCCTCAGGCCCCCAGAGTCGGCCGGGTCTGGGAGAACTCCACGCGGCCCTAGGGCTCGGGCCTCAGTCTCAGCTGCAGAACGGAGTAGGGTGAGCTTTTCTCTTACCGAGGTCTTGGCGACATTGCCGCGCTGGGTGATGTTCTTGCTATGCTTCTCGTTGGCCATACGGATCCGCTGCTTGGCGACCATCTTCGCGGCGCTACCACCTGCCCCAGCCACCCCTTGAACTCGCTCGCTCGCTTCCCCTCCGGCCGCTGCGACGCGACGTTCCCGATGCCCGCGCCGCCGGAGCAAGGAGGTTCTCAGGCGGGGCGCTAGCTCCGGACGCTGGGCCTGGGCACGGCGAGCGCGGGGACTGGGGGCTGAGCGCTAACGGGGCGCGGGCCGCCGACTGACTGAGGACGCCGGACTGACCGGCCGAGCGAGGCGGGCGCGCGGGAGGAGAGCAGGCCGCCGGGATATTCTCGCGCCGCCGGGAGCGTGGAGTAAAAGAGGAAGGAAACGCAACGCAACAAGCGGACGGTGTAGCCCGTCGTCTCGAACTACTTCGGGTTCGGCTGCCAACGTCAGCACTGGGCAGACTCCTCCCCACGGAAGTGCGGGCTCCGCCTGCTGAAGAAAAGGGAGGGGGCGAGAGAGGGCTGGGCACGGGCCCCTAGCCCAGCCCTCCCAAGCTCTGTAAAGCGTGGCCCCAGCGCTGCGCGTGCGCATTGAGGTTCCTTTTCTGAGGCACTCTCCAACCGGAAGTGAGTTCGCCCCGAGGCTGATGACCCCGGAAACACTAATTTGCCGTCTCCAGGCGTGAGGAGACGTGTAGGGGCCAGGTTTGGCTCTCGTGAACTCTGACCCAAGTGGATGGGTTTCTCTTTCCGGGACAACATGGCGCCGTCCACGCCGCTCCTGACAGGTGAGTTGTGAACGAACAAGAGAGATTTCTTTAGAGCAGTATTTTTGTGTATCTTTGTTTTTGAGTCCTATCCGTGGAGCCTTGGGGTCTGATCGGCCTTTTCTTGTGGATTGCGGAAGAGCCGGAGGGCCTTTGGGGTTTCTCGGTGTAGAGTGACAATCGGAAGTGAGGCCTCCTGCCTTTGGGCTCCTGCCTTCCCCCTCCTTTTTTGCCGTCCATCATTCTTCTCTGCCACTTCAAGTTACAATGGAATTGAAGAACGGAGATAAGAACAGGAAGTGCTAGTTGAATTTGTTACCTTGGGTTTGCAATACTAATGTTGCATGAACCCTTATTCGTTGACAGACCTGTTGACAGTGTGAAGTCATTTAGCTTTGTAATAAGGAAAAATTGTAAACATGTGACTCAATCCACTAGAATGACCACACACGATAAAAAAAAAAAAAAAAAAAAATCCCTGAATTTAGGTAATACCAAATTCTGTACTACTTGCTTTAGTGAAATTTGTAGGACTTAATAAAGAGAATTGGAGCTGTGGCAATGATACTTGAAATTTTTTTCTAACTTATCACAGAGGGTAATAGTAATCTGTGGCAAAAGATTTCAAGTGATAAAAGTATGGTCTGGGGTGGTTACAGTGAGCATTATAGAGATGATCTAGCAATGTTGGATATTGAAATGGTTGTGAGCATTTTAGAGCTAGAACATTAGAGGATTCCTGAGACTTTGAGACAGAGTTTATAATGTTGGAGAAGATAATAAAATTAGTCTTGTACAATGCCAGGGAACACTCTGGGCTAGGGTAATGGCTGGGAGTCTCATATGAGTATCAAGTAAGGAGCTGGGAGTTGGGACAGGAAAAAAAAAAAAAGAGGCTTTGATTAAATCACAATAATAACTTTGTAGAAGGAGAAAGAAGTCATTAAGAAAAAGATCGTTTACTTTTGAGAAAAGAGGTTATTTTCCCCTGAGACTTGAATCTGTTAGCTATTCACAATTTTAGAATACTAAATGCTTGTTTGAATGCTAATAAAAAAAATAGTACATTTTAAAATCTAATAAATTTCTCTTTTAAAATTTGTACAGTGGCTCTTCATTGCTTGCAGGGTAAATTCCATCCTGTGTAGTATAAACCTTTATAATCTTTGAATAGTTCTTGACATTCATTTCCTTGCCACTCCATCCTATTTTGTGTTCCATTATATTGAACTGCTTATGAAACCCTTGAACAACCTGTTTATTGATTCTAAGACTATCTTGTTCCTTTTTATTTGGCTAACTTCTTTTCATCTTTTAAAATTCTTTTCAGACATCATTGCTTTGTGAAGTTTGTCCTCACTCTTCCCAGATAGTTACTCCCCAGGCTATTTTTGTAACTCAGATATACTTGAAATTTTTTTCTCACTTATCACAGAGGGTAATTATCTAGTTATTTAGGTGCTTTTCTCTTCTGCTAGACTATGAACTCCTTGATTGCAGGATAGAGTCTTATTCATTTCTGTCTTTTCAGTACCACGTACAGCGACTGGTAAGTAATAGACATTCTGAATGTTTAATGGGAGAATTAGTGAAAAATAACCACTTCATTCATAGTCAAATGAACTAAGAATGACAGTTGTCTTACAATGCTTAAAATCAAGGACTTCATAAGAGCTTAAAGGTTATCTACTCAGTCAATGCATCATATTTTCATATTCATAAATGCCCAGACAGATTAAGTGGTCAGATTCAAATAGCAAATTGAAGAGTCAGGATTATATTCAGTCATTCAATTTCGTGGTCCATTTTTCACTAGAACATACTGATTTTAGAATTCCTAATATAGATATTTTACTTAACAATAGATTGTTTTACTTCTGGAATCCTTTTTAAACTTAGACTTGGGATTTTTGAGTTTTGAATAATTTGGAGATTATCCAGTAAATTTTATTAGTCATGACTTTTAATTGGAAATGACAAAAAGTCAAAGAAGGTGAAAGGGGGATTTTGAATGAAAATTCATGCAACCTTAAAGCCTCGGTACTGCTGTGTCCAGATATTCACATGACTCCAAAACTCTGTTTTGTCGTTGTTGTTGTTGTTGTTTAATCCCCAGGCTCTTGCTTTCTTCTCCATTAAATTCATTTTCAGGCTAATGTTCTACATGGGAGCTCCAGGTTTACATTCAGCCAGTTTAGCAACCCCAAAAGAAGGAACACATTTTTTCCAGTCTCAAGGCTGGCTTGGCTGTCCTTGTCTTGGCTTGGCTCTTGCTCACCTTTGAATCGGTCACTGGTTAATCACATCACCAGGACTAAATTATCTTCTCACCCTTGGATATTCCCCAAAGGAAAATTAGAGTCCTCTAAAAAGGAGGGCTGGATGCCAGGCATGTAAAACAACAATGGCCTTACACGAAACCCATATTGTCTAATCAGCTTGCATAATTGAGGCTATTGAGATAATTTATTCAAAATTGAGTCATTTTCCTAAATTGATATGTATTCCAGTGGATATAAAGTATAGAAAAAGTATCATATAATGTCACCATATCTCTGGCATAGGACCCTTGTTTGTTGAAGCCCAGTAGGTTTCTCACATTAACCATGAAAATGTTGTGCTGGTTGCCTTGAATACCCTGAAAGTTCCCACTGCTGTCGTCAGAAGTTTATCTTCATGGGTTGTGAGGTACAGCTGCCACTTTAGTGTAATGTGCAAACACTGAATTTTCCCCAAGTAAGCATTGTGGTCAGTGATAATAGTAAAATCAACAAGTGTAGAGGACCAAGGGCAGTAATGACAAATGTTGTAAAAACACAAGATGCTGAGATAAGTTAGGGAAAGCTTTTTTCTTTTTCTTTTTTTGCCAGTCACCTCAAGCGTATGTTCATGGGGCAAGCAGTTAAGTCAATAAAACATGGTTTGATTGCATTATCATATCGCACATTTTCTAATTATACGGTAGCTCATTGGGAATATACTGACAATGTGCCATTTTGTTTTCCTAGGCCTGTATGTGAATTATTAAAGAGAGCTCTTAATGTGTTCAGTTGCCACTGTAGCTTGTGGGAGGGACCTCTTTAGGCTGACAAAATTTTATGTAACCTAAGAATAAAGTGAAATCTGGTAACTGAACTCCCTAGTTTGGGAAGTTCATTTTTTATTAATCCCACAAATAAATGCTTGTTAAAAACTTAACTACAGTATTAAGAAAAGAATGGCTATTCTCTCCTAAGTTGTAATGTTTCATACATGATATTGCAGCAGATGATTTATTTGGTTATGAGAAATAAATGGGCATTGTTTTGCATGTGTAGTAAGAGAATAGTCAAAAGGCCATGAAGCTATTGAGAATTTTGATTCTAAAGAATTAAACTTTCTAGTTTTAAAATCTTCTACAAAAACTTTTTCCTCTCACAAAACATTTTCTAAATGTCATTAGATTTAGAATAGATATTGTTTAGAATAGATATTGTTAGTGTTTCACTCAAGGTGTAGCAATAGACTGAGCTCCTTAGAAATCATTATCTTGAGTGCAGTGATGGATTTGTTTTTTAAAATCCTCAGTGCCTACCACATAGACCTATCCAGGGAGCAGATCCTATACAGAGAGAGCCTTGTAGGCTGTGGTGTAAAGAATTTAGATTTTGATTAATACTAATACTTTGTTAGGTTCCATTCTATTCAAGGACAAACTATGCACAACAGTAGCAACTCAGTCTAGTGCTCTCCATATGAGGAAACATAGTATCCTTTTGTATATTTGTGGATGTCTAACAACAAACTCATTCAATTATGTGTTTACTTATTTTCCATTACTTCACTAGAATATAAGCTCCCCGAGGGCACAGATTTTAAATTATTTACTATGGGAGTGTTATATTAATTATGTATTATATTCATTATATTACTTTTAATATGTGAAAACTGAGTGAGTTAATTCTCAGGTAAAATATCAGTGTTCTGAGAACTGTCCCTGGAAAAAGGGACATAGGAAATATGGATCAGAGTTGGAGCCAAGAGTTGTAGTGGTCCCTGTCTACCAACTTTGCTCTTTTCCCGGTAACTAAGAGAAAAGCTGGCAGAAAAGGAAGCAGCTGTAATTGTGACCATGGACCTCAGTAAAACTTTTTCTTCTTTTTGGCCCTTATACTATTGCTGCTAGCAAGAATTCTAGCTGATAAAAAAGTAACTTATCACCAAGTCCTGTCAGTTTTATCTCTAAATTTTGAACACAAATCCTCCGCTTTCCATTTCCACTACCCCACCTTAGTCCGTTTCCTTAATTTCTCCTATGGAACTACTGGAGAACCGTCTTGAGTAGTCTCTTCACATCCACCATTACTCCCTTTCAGTTCATTCTCTACACTGTATCAAATTGACCTTTTCAAAATGCAAATCTGGTTTCAGAAATCTGCTTAAAACCCTTTTGGAGTTTCCCACCATTCTTAGGCTATAGACCAATGTTTTCTCACTTAGGCCACAAGATTCTGCTTAGTCTGAGCCCTATTTTCTTCTCCAGCTCCTTCTCCTTTGAGCCCCACAGGCCTTCTTTCCATTCCTCTGATGTGTCATCATCTCTCTTGCCAATGAGTTTTTGCACTTTTTACTGTTCTCTTTGCTTGTGAACTGCTATTCTTCCTTTGTATCTTAGCACACAAATGACTTACTCAAGGACACATTCCATATCTTCTGTTTTGAGATCAAAACTCTATTATTATTCACTCTATTTGCTCTATATATCTTTCCTTTGTAGCACTAAACACAGGTATAGAATTCCATATATTTGATTAATTATTTGATTAATGAGGTCCGAGACAAGGCTGATTTTCCTCCCTGTTGTATCTCCAGTTCTCAACATAAGGTCTGGGAGGTAGTTTTTTTTCCCAATAAGCATTTATTGAATAGATGAATGAATTTAGTTGATTCAGCTTTAGAAACTTCTAATTCAGCCATTTTTAATCTAGTTCTATAGATGTTTTGCTTATTTAATCTTGGATTTTGTTCCCGTTTAATATTTTTGGATATTACCGTCATTGAGGGCTTTGTAAATGAATGTTTCTAGTCCCATTTGCTCTCTTAGTTTGAGAAATTGTAAATATATAAGTAATGCCTTACTTTTTAAAAGAACTTTGAATATATACTATATTTTCATGTTATTATTTTATGTAAAACACAGCTACCCTATGTCCTAATATTTCCATTTTATAAACTAGGGCATAGATTTAGAGTTGGTAATGTGGCCAAGGTACCACAGCCAGATAGGTACAAAAGTTTGCCTTTGAGTTTATGTCCTTTCTACTACAGCACAACTGCCTTTCACTGCCTTTCACAAAATAAAAATTTTGAGTTTTTATTTATAGAAATTACTTGAGAGAGTAAGCTGATTCAAAGAAGGTTGAACTTAGACTCAGCTTTTCATTCTGTTTCCAACATCCATACATTCTGAAAATGAGATTTAAAATCATGTGAAAACAATACTAAGATCACTTTTTTCCATTCGAATGAATATAAATATGAATGGTTTATCTCAGTGCACATGCACAGATTTCTTGAAAAACAGATAAAAGGAGATTTATTAATGTAGTCTCCTTAGAGACTAAATGAATATGCTTTATAGGAAAAGAAATGAGAGGGATTACCTGTCTTAGTTTGGGCTCTAATAACAAAGTACCATAGACTGGATAGTTTATAAACAACAGAAATTTTCTTACAGTTCTAGAGGCTGGAAGTCTGAGATCAGGGTTCCACTATGTCAGGTTATGATGAGGTCTCTCTTCCAGATTGCAAACTGCCAACTTGTATCTTCACATGGCAGAGAGAGAGCTAGCTGGCTCTCTGGACTCTTCTTGTAAGGACACTAATCCCATTCACAAGAGTTCTACCCTCACGACCTAATTACCTCCCCAAGGTTCCATCTCCAAATATCATCACATTAGGGTTAGGGTTTCAACATGAGGTTTTGGGAGATACCACAGACATTTAGTCTATTGCATTACCTATTTATTTATCAGCAGTTATACGATTTCATGCAGTAGGGTAAAAAAAATATGCCCTTTTAATGCTAATACTCTGTAGTTCTAAGAACTGTTTAATAATTTCATTAACACTTTGGCCAAAAGCTTTTTGTTTTTTAAGACATATGTGATAACTGAGTATTTATTAACAAAGTCCTGATGGTTCTTTTCATTTTATTTTTTAGTCCGAGGATCAGAAGGATTATACATGGTGAATGGACCACCACATTTTACAGAAAGCACAGTGTTTCCAAGGTATGGTTTATTTTGTTGAGTGATGTTATAGAGAACTATTTAATACATTCTAAATTATTTTTGGTGTTATATAAATTATTTGGTGTTATATAAATTATTTTTGGTGTTTCTGAACAAGAAAGAAAAAGAACAGCTAGTTTTTTGGGACATATCGTATAATATTAATAGAAGATGGAAGGAAGACATATTCTTTATTAAGAAAAATGATTTTTAGATTTGAAAATAATAGCTTAATCATTTTTAAAAGAAAAAGTGTAGACAATAGTGTAATTGAGTTCAAGCCTCTAGCTTAAAAGAATTTTATCTTAGGAAATGAGGAAAAACTTGCAAATGTAGTAGCCAAATCACTGTCTATAATTTTAATGAAATCATAGAATGAAAAAGGTATAAGAAAGGAAGGAACTATAGAGAAAACTATATAAAATATATAACTAGACAGATGTATTTTTCCCAAAAAGAAACAATAAATAGATAAACCAGAACTAATCAGAGTGATTATTTGTAGAGGGAGAGAGAATTACAGAATGCAGAAGACATGTCTGTGAATGAACTTTGGTATCTATTGTTTTTGATTTTGGACCATGTTATTGTTCTAAATTTAAAAAAAATTACCAATGTTACCCCAATAAACTTAATAAAATAATTAATTAATTTAAAATATAAATTAATTAATTAATTAAAATGGAGAATGAAAACAAGTAAACCTAGCTTTATATTAAATTGATAGCATGACCATATCATGACCTGCAAAATTCTTAAATGCGTTCAATAGTTTTACTGTTTACAGAAAATTGATAATGTCATTTTAAATTTATTGTAGGATCAAAGAAATAGTTATATTAACGTTTTTAGGAACCAAAATTTTCAGCATAACAGTAAAAGGATAGATTTAAATAATATCAAATAGGAATTCATGATTTTTTTCCATAAAATAACTTGTTTCCTAGTTCTGTCCACTGAAAAGGTCTAGAAGCAGTAATAACCTAGTAGCAGTGACTACCCTTGCCTCACAGACTGTGATCATAAACACTATTCTTCACTACAGGGAACTAGTTTCTTGGAGAAGTGGCCGACTCCAGATCTAGGACAGAAAATGTACAAATTGAGCTAGAGACATGAAGTGGCAGAAAGCAAGGAAGCTATAACAGACCAACGGAGTTTTGTGAAAGTGTCACACAAGTCAACTTGAAGGGTTCACACCAGCCAAAGATGAGAAAGTTTAAGCATTAAGAAGAATTATGGCTGAAAGGATTAAGACATGTCAAGTATATAAACACTCCCCTTCCAATCCCCCTTCCTCTAAATCTTATTAGTATAAAAGATCAATGTGGTCATCCTTCATTACTTTGAAAATTGATCAGTATGAAGAAGGAATCAGCATTTATCTTGCCTTTCCCCATTCAGACTTTTTCAGAGTAATCGAATTGTTGATGAGGAAATCTTATTTATAGAAGAATTCCAGTTAAATGGAGAAGGAATAATGGGATTAGATAATAGCTATTTTGTAATCCTAAAGAAATCATGTATCATTGGTTCTCAAACATTAGCATGGATCAGAATCCTCTGAAAAGCTTGTTAAAGCACATCGGTATTCTCGCCCCAGATTTCCTAATTCCTTAAACCTGGGGTGGGCCCAAGTATTGGAATTTTTAATAAATTCCCAGGTAATTCTAGTGCTACAAATCTGGGGACCCCACTTTGAGAAACACTGATCTAGGCAAATGATCATCAAAAGATGCTGAAACTGAGGGGTAAACGATTGATGGGGAACTTTATGATCAGGCTGACATTACCTGAATCTATTGACCAGTTTTTTTTTTTTAGAACCAGTTCTCTAGAACCTTGTTATAGGAGGTATGATCCCAAGACTAGCCATATTGGTATCACCTTGAACTGGTGCAGAGTGTAACATCTCAGTACCTGCCCAACTCACTGAATCAGAGTCTCTACTTTAACCAGATCTGCAGCTGATTTGTGTGCACATTAATGTTTGAAAATCACTACTCTAGAAAACAGTCTGTGTCAAAGCTTTTGTGTTATACTCCATTGGGGTATGCAATCCCAAGGCAGTAAGAATGAAGGGAAAAAGGAATGAGGCAAAGAAGTGAAAGCAAATATAACCTGGGGTGCACTGGACTGACCACAGGTGCCCAAAATACAGCCAGGTTGCTTGGTCATGCAGAATGTCTCCAGAGGCCGTATGGAACCACTGTGCCTCCAAAAAATATGTTGTGGAGAGGAAAGGTAAAAAATTTATATGTGGCCACAGCTTCTCTTGGTCTTTTTGGGATGAATCTAAATGCCAGAGCTCTTCTTCCTACTACTGCAGTAGACACAATAGAAGCCATGCTGAAATGTGGCCCTCACTCGTGGAGAATCAGACAACCAGTGGTGTTAGGAAATGAGGTAGCCAGGTCTCTTTATTGAATAAGTGATGCCTGAGTGCAGGAAGGGTTAGGTGAATCTGAGGAGGTACATAATGAGTCCAATACAATCTTAGCATCACTAAGAGTAGAATGAGAAGACATTGTGTGTCTCCGAGTGAATTTCAGTAGGAGCTACATAATACTTCTGTGAAGGTTAAAAAAAAAAACCTGATTCTAATCAAGCTTTTAGATGAATGGTTCTAGATTTGGCTGCACATTAGAATGACCTGGGGAACTTTTAAAAATTGAGATATTCAAGTACAGGGTATTAAAAGATAAATATTTTGTGAGATGAAGTGGCATGGTGGTGATTGTTCTTTTAAAATGTCATCAGTTTAGAGATGCATACTGAAGTATAAAGTAAAATGATGTGAGATGCTTTAAAATATTTTGGCATTAAATATAAAAATAGGGAGTAGATTAAACAAAATTGGCCATGAGTTAATAATTATTTAAGCTTGGTGATAGGTACATGGGTGGGTTATCATACTTTTTCTCTATTTTTTGTGTATATTTGACATTTTTCATTAAAAAAATTGTACCAGAAGGAAATAGACAAAATTTCCCAATTGCCAAGATTAGGAAGAGAATTAAATTCTGTGTACTATAGTCTAGTAAGCTTGCCTTCAATCTTAAACAACATTTTAGAATGAGTTATTATTAAAAGGACAGTTTTAATCATTGAAATGAGGGGTGATTATTGGAGTCAAAATGAGCTTTCTAAGAACAAATTGTTTCAAGCTTATCTCCATTTCCTTTTGAGTAGAATTTCCAGATACATCAGAACCATTAAAATGATTTTAGCAAAGTATCTGAGAAAGGACAAAGTCTTTTGGTTGGGTGATGATAATGGCAGAGTTGTCGTTGGTTAAGAGCTGTGAAATCAGCTGATTAATGAGTTGATTTTAGTTCAAGGCAAGAACTGTTGGTGAGCCACAGGATCTTGTTCAGAGCTTATTCAACATTCTTATTAATTTAGATGACGGCTTCGATTGGTGTTTTATAAGTTATACATTTCATAAATCTGTAAGGAATGACTAATGTTTTAAAAGAAAAAATCAAAATGTAAGTATAAGCTACTATTATTGTGGGATTGCAGAAAGACAAATGTCATCTTCAGATGAATTAATCCAAAAATAGTATTCAGATTTAGAGGGATATACTGGTCAGTTCTCAAGCATTGATATTTAATAATTCAAATATTTATTAGCTATGAAGTTTTGATCTAATGTTGTAACTACACATATGGACATCAGCATGTACACACATACATATTTCTGTTGAATCTTCATTATCACCGGGAGAGGTCCTCATCATAGCCACCTCCAGCTGAGAGAAATGGTACTTAAAGTTTTGATCATTTGATAGATTACTGTCAAGAATCTGATTTTCACAGGTATGTTTTTTATACAGAATCCTGTATCTGCATTTATTTAATGTGAAGATCCTCTATTGTTATACTTTCTGTCTCTACACATTAGAAATTGATGGAAGGTATTTGCCCTTCAAATCTAGGGGCACTTCTTGGCCACTTGGGAATATTCTAGCCACCATTGTTTTGTTATGCAGGTAATCTGGGTCATTATTCACAAAGTATCCATGTTGAAATCCTTCAGCCCTCTCAATATCAGGGCTGACAGCTGATAACTTCCACAATCGCTTACATTTGGAGGTTGTCACACGAAGTAGATATTCACCCAGAGGGGCTCTTTTTCTTTAAGATTGATCTCTTAGTATAAAATCAATTTCCAGTTTGCTTTACAGTGTTGGTTGACATTGCATTTTAAGAAATAAAGTGTTTTGGTAGACTAAAACATTTGAGAATTATTTTCTAAAATTTATGTAAGCTCTTAGTCATTAAGTTCGTAGTAAGATTGTGGCTTTTGAATCAGATTTTTTAAAAAGTATTAATGCTTATTAATTTAAACTTTTTTCTTGTCCTTTTTAGGGAATCTGGGAAAAACTGTAAAGTCTATACCTTTAGTAAGGATGGGACCTTGTTTGCCTGGGGCAATGGAGAAAAGTTAGTGTTCATTTATATAACATTTTATGTATATGTCGTGAATATAATACATAACTAGCATTATTTGAATAACATATATTTAGGTGTCATTAGTAAAGTTCATCTTTTAATGTCATGATGCAGTTAGGTATTATTTACTATACAACTTCCATAGAATACCTCCAAAGTCGTTAGTTTCTATTTATGTGCCATGACTCCTTTGAATTATCTAGTTACTTTGAATTAAAAAGTAACATATGAAAAAAGGGCAATTAATTTAATGCTGAAGAAACTTTGACAGATTGTTTTAAATAGTGCTCTAAGGTACTGGTTAGAGTTTCTTAAGTTTTACATTAACACTTAGAGAATAATTCTTTGATTATCTTAGATTTATATACTTTATATCTTTGCTATCAGTAACAATTGCAGTTATTTCTATTAGTTTTATCTTATATAAAAGTATATTAGGTATGTGTAAGTTCTTCAAAAGTATGTTTAGTATAATGTATATTACATAAAATAATCAGATTACAAAATTGGTCTTGCAAAAAAATAAGTATTTTGATTAAATGCTCATAATTTTGTTAAGAAAACGAGTCCTTTTTAATTTTTCCTTAGTTTACAAAACCAGGAAAATACCCGAGTGTTTGTTGCTTGGTTTAAAGTTATTTTTGTTTTTTTTTAACCAGTTATAATATCTTAGGTTTTTTTTTTTTTAAGGGAGAAAATATATACATTGGTTTCAAAAGTACATTTTAAATGGTTTTTTTTTTACACAGTGGTAATGTATTCTGAAGACTTTGAACTATCAGGTCAGATTGGATTAAACACATGATTTTTAAAAATTAATGCTAAAAATATTGTGTTGAATTAATCGATTCACCTTTTTGACTATAAGTAGCTGGCAGAATTAGCATTTATAATTAAAAATATTAATCAGTTTATTTTTTCAAGTTATTAAATCCAACCAACAAACTTCTACTCTCCAATTATTAAGTATGTAATCGTCTTGAGTCTTATCCGCAGTGTTGACAGGCAGTCTTAATCTCAGCCTCGAAGAAAGGATGTATCTCAAGTTGTGTGTGTGTGTAACCTATTGTGGGTATTTGAGTTTTATTTTTTTTAATCCACATTTTAGTTTATACTATTTGAGTAATGAGTTAAGAGAAATTTATCATCTAATGGGATATACAATACTTCCTTTAATTGTCTACTATCTTTTTGAGCTATTCTAGCTTAGAGTTTGTTGAGTAAGTCTGTTTTTACCTTGGCGCTATTATTAATTATTTTATATACTCATTCATATCCCCACTTGTCTTTCTATTGGATTCAACTCTGAATCCTTTTAATATGTCACCATATGTTGTGTCCATCTTTTTAATAGATATTTTCTATATGTGGTTCTAGCATTTATTTCCTTAAAGTTCTGTGGCCATAATGATATATAATGTTCCTGGGTGAAGAGAAACAGGTGGAGTGTATTGATTGTGGTCTTTACTGAGTTCATGATTAACTAAGAAACTATAAATGATTTTTCCTTGAATATGTGGTTTTTAAAAAATTAAAATAAACACTTTATTAAACTAATAATAACTATTTGAGATTATCAACAACAAAAAAGTTTCATGTAATTCTAAAATGTGTGTATTATAGTAAATTGTAAAAAATCACATGTGTGTGTTTTAACAATGTGCAGTAATCATTTATTCTTACCAATTTCTGCTTATCCTAACCCAGTGTCTTCAAACTTCAGTAGAACAAAGTAACTTTAAGCAAATTTCTGGAATAAGATGGAGTATTTTTTTTTTTTAATCCCAAAGAGAACATAATAGCAAGTCAGGCCAAACTGGTTTTAAAGCTTGGCTCTGGCATTTATCTGTAGTATGATCTTGGGCAAATCATCAAATTATTTAATTTTCTAAGCCCTCAGTTTCTCACCTTTTGTAAAATGCAGATGATAATACCCATCTTATACAACTGTTGTGAGGTGTAAATGAGAAAATGTATATAAAGTTGTTAGACCAGAACATGGTACATAGAAAGCATCCAAAAAAATAGAAACTGCTTTTATTAAATAATTGTAATTTTTGTCATTTTCATACCACAATAATTCTTATAGTTCTATCTTTTGGAGACTGCTTCTGAGATTATAATAGACATCAAAAGTCTCTTTGCTGATTTTCTCAGTTGCTACAGCTTCCATTTACTTAAATTTTATACTCTAGTTTCAGCACATCTGTTTTCTCTTTTGTTTGATATACCTCAGCTTGTCTGTAAGTTAGCTCTGTTCACTTAAAGGCCTGTTGTTTCCTTTTCAGCTGAAGGTGGAATCATCTGTTGTGTCTTGCTACTAATTCTATGTTATTTCTCAACACCAGCCTTATTTACGGGTCTTTTGGTAAAATGTACACTTTTTTCCGTTAAGGTGTTTATTGGATATTTTTTAAAACTAACCAAAAATTGATTTTTGTGAAAAATGAACTCTTAAGAGTCATCTGTATTTGAAAGGAAGTATGAATGTTTTGGGTAGTGCTTGCTATTATAAAACGTTATTCTGTTGCTGAAGTAATTTCTTTTGAAACCAGAATAAATGTTACCAATATCACTAACAAGGGACTACTGCACTCCTTCGACCTCCCAAAGGTAATTTGCCTTGAATTCTCGCCAAAAAACACTGTCCTGGCAATGTGGCAGCCTTACACTAGTAAGTACTTTTCAATTATAAAAATATTCTGACATAACCAATTCAATTCAGTGGGTAAAAAAAGAGAGTTTATAACTTTATAAGAAATTAATTAATCTTTATGATAGTAAGTAGTGTGTGAATATTTTTAATCAACAATAAATCTTGTATTCCCCAAATGTGATGTACTTTAAGTAATTTCAACGTATAGTAAGTTACTGAACAGATCCATCATAAGATAGAGGAAAAGAAAAGGCCAAAGGAAATTTTAGGAAGTAAACAACCGTTGGATAGAGATCTCAAAAATTAAGAATAGTAGTAACCTATAAAATGAAAAACATTTAGAATAATCATTATAAAGGAAGGAGGAAGTACAGTAGATACAACTTTAAGAAATATATATGATATGACAAAGAATAGGAAATGGTGCCATTTTCTAACACATTTAGAGATATAATAATATGTTAAGTGAACATTTTATAAAGCTGTGCTTCATAAATGAGTAATAAAACATTGAGAATTGGTATAAGAGTTTATTTTAAAAAACATTTTTGAATTATGTGTGGATATTGATGGGTAAATATGTGATCATAGTTCCTTATTGGGTTATAAACCTGGGTTTCTTCTTTCAAGAGGCGTAGACTCTAAGGAATCTTATAACTATTTTTGTGTATGTGACTTATAGACAAAAGCTTTCATAGTAAGACAATTTAATTCATTTAATAGCAAACCATGTCAAACTTAATAAACAAGAAATCTCTTAAATATTCTTAACTCATTTCAGAAATGCTGAACTTTTGCTCATACAGCTATCATATTGTCATGGTTTTAGAAATGGACGATTAAATCCACAATTAAAGCTAGTGAGGAAAGTTGATTTCAAGCAACTCTCTTACTTCCTCTTTATAATCTTGTTCAAATTTTTTCTGAGAATGAAATTTTTTATACTAGTGTTAAGAGTCAGTTACTGCAAACATATTGTTTTTATTGCAGCTTCTAAAGATGGCACAGCTGGGATTCCTAACCTACAACTTTATGATATGAAAACTGGGACATGTTTGAAGTCTTTCATCCAGAAAAAAATGCAAAATTGGTAAGTAAATGCTTTAAAATACTAATTATTTATAAAATATTTCAATATCTTCATTGTATAATATTTCTTTGGTATTGGTTTAGAAAATATCTTATCAAACCAAAACCTACATCTTCAAGGATTTTCTATGTAAGAATGTAATACACTTGATTTTTATTTAGTCTTTGAATAAAAATGAACAATATTTTTGTATTACATATGGTGACTAAAACTATTAGTAACTGACATCATATTATAAATATTTTTCCTTAAATAGTAAGCAATATCATAAGTTTTAACGTGTTAGCATGTGATGTAACATTCTGTCTACATTTTTCTTATATTCTTTCTTTTCAACGTAGGTGTCCATCCTGGTCAGAAGATGAAACTGTTTGTGCTCGAAATGTTAACAATGAAGTTCACTTCTTTGAAAACAACAATTTAAGTATGGAAAGATTTATGATATTATTATTTACTATAAATACATAATAGTTTTTATTGCCTTATATGGCATCTTAGAGTTCTCCAAAATACCATTAATGTATTAATATTAATGTATTACTGTATATTAACATGTATACTATACATAGTATATATTATATGTTATATAATATATAACAATATGTACTATATATAATACATATTATATTAATATATAACATATATATTAATAATTATATAAATTCCACAAAGATATTCTTTTATAATAAGTTTTCTAATAGTTTCTATTAAATTAAGACATTTGAATACCTTTCTGAATTTATTTACTACTGAAAGTCTGTGATGCAAATTTTTTAAATGTTTCATTGTGTAGAATTTCAAACATAAAAGTAGACACCTAGTCCTAATAACCATCAACCCATTGCCAATTCTACTTCATCCATACATCTATTCATCTTCCATCTCTCTTATTCTGCTATAGCAAATCCTAGAGATCATATAATTTGACCTGTAAATATTTCAGTATATATCTCTGAAAGTTAGACCTCTTAATTTTTTTTTAACTTGGCCAAAAGACTATTATCAGAGATTATAAAATGCTGGTTTAGTGTTTAAATTTCTGATAATCGCAAATGTTATATATATTTTTTTAAACTCAGGATCCAAATAAGGTTCCTCACATTGCAAGTGACTGATATATCTCTTAAGTTTCTTTTAGCTATAAGTTCCCACCCCATCTTTTTTTTCCCTTGCAGTTTATTATGTAAACAAGGTTACTTGTCTGGTGTATTTTCCCACAATTTGAATTTGGCTGTTGTATCCCATCCTATAATTTAACATGTGCATCTATCTCCTTTAAGTAGCTAATTTGGATCTAGAGTTGGTCAGCTTCAGGTTCTTTTTTTTTGAGAAAATGACTACATTATAAGGCAGTATTCAGTTCTTTTATCAAGAAGCACATACTGTCTTAGTGTCTTTAATTTTGTAAGATTAGGTGACATTAATGTTCAATGCCTAGATCCATTATTTCATGAGTGGTTGCAAATTGGTGATACTCTGATTACCCTCCTCTCTTTTCATTTATTAGCTGTACTACTTCTGTAAAGAAATTCCCCCGTCTACTATTTGGTTACCTAGTGGTGCCATTTACATAAGAAAGGCAGGATAAATATTCTTTCCTTTTATCACTTTTAATATAATGAGTTCTTTCTCTAGCAATCTTTACGGCAACCAATTAGTTTCCTTAGTTCCCACCCCCATCCTTATGAGCTATGAATTGAAGGATATGTGATGTGTCAATCCATTGCAGTTATTATTGATCTTCAAATTATCCCATCCTTGGTCAATTAGTCTTTAATGACTTTTTTGCTATATGGTAAGACAAGGAGTTCTAGGATTATCATATATATTTTCTATATTACCTAGAATCAGCCAATTCTTCATGATACTCTGGTTTCTTTTAGTGGGAAATAGTATTTGGAGACCACAGTTTGGGTATAGGCGGTTCTTATTGCTACTGTGTTGATCATTGTTTCTAGGCCCTTTTTTCCTGTTTTTTTTTTAATCTTATATCTGTATTTCCTTTTGCTATTACCAGGAATTCTGGAATTCTGGGGTACCAGGGGTGATAGTTTGAGAATATCACATTCACATAATTATTCATTTGCTTTATTCCACATTAACCACACTATTCTTTGAATAGCAATACCAGCAGTAATACCAATAACTTGATTACTGAAAATAATTTTTTAAAAAGTTTTGCAGTTTCTTTTATCCTTAGACTATCCTATTAGTGACTGTACACTTTTGAATACATTAAAGTAGAATAGGAATTGGTAACTTGATTTACATGTACTAAAGATGGTACACAGGCTGATTTTGAGCGTTATTCACACAATCATTATAGCCATACACTTCATTTTCCCACTTTTGAGACTCATTACTACCCCATTAATTTGGATTCACTTGCATACTTATCTTACTTGCCTCTTCTTGAGCATGCTAAAAGAAGGGGATTGCCAGTTTGGCAATGTTGTATGCTACTTTTTACAGCTGTTGATCTCTGAATTTGAACAAAGAAAGAGGAATAGCTCTTGGTCCCATTAACTAGAGGAGCAGTATTGTTTATAACATGAGTTCTGACTGCCTGACAGAATTAGCATTCAATAAATATCAGCCATCGTTACTCTTGTTGTGATCATCATTATCATGTGATTAGTTACAGAATTTTCATATCCACATTCTACAGTTAGCAGGTCATCTTTTTCCTCAAATGAGCTCTAAAACTACTTTATTTCATAAGTTGAAGAGAAGAGAACTGACATTAATTGAATATCTACTATGGGCCAAGCACTGTGGTCTTAAAAATCAATCCCTGAGAGTTAGGCGTATAATCCTATTACTTGCCCAAAATCACACAACTAGAAATGACTGAGTAAGAATTCAAGTGTAGATCTGTCTGTTCAATGCCATGCTTTTTTCACTCTGTTGCTCTGCCTCACCTACATGAGATTACAATGAGAAGTATTAGTGTATAATTACATAAACCTTTTATAATGCATTCAGAATTAAACATATCACTGTTGCTTCTCTTATTAACCTAACACCATTTACTTTTTTTTTAGATACAATTGCAAATAAATTGCATTTGCAAAAAATTAATGATTTTATGTTATCACCTGGACCCCAACCATACAAGGTAATTGCTGTTTTTGTTCATGTGTAATATTTTGAGATTAAACCTTTTCTTAGTCTTTAGTGACTGTAAAACATGTTCCTCTTGGTTTATATGTTTCAAAAAATTAAATAATGATTTATGTTTGTGTATCTTAGGTGGCTGTCTATGTTCCAGGAAGTAAGGGTGCACCTTCATTTGTTAGGTTATATCAGTACCCCAACTTTGATGGACCTCATGCAGCTTTAGCCAATAAAAGTTTCTTTAAGGCTGATAAGGTTACAATGCTATGGAATAAAAAAGGTATGATAAATGTATTTTCTCATTTTGTTTATCACATATTGATTTAGACTTATAATCCTGTGTGTATAGAACAAAATGCTTATTTAATGAAAATTTATGAGTCTTACATTTTTTAATATTTTTTTTATCACCATTAGATTCATTTGTATATTAAATCTAATTAAAGTTTTTACTGTTCTAGCTACTGCTGTATTGGTAATAGCTAGTACAGATGTTGACAAGACAGGAGCTTCCTACTATGGGGAACAAACCCTGCACTACATTGCAACCAATGGAGAAAGTGCGGTAGTACAATTACGTGAGTATTTCAGCAATCTTCCTTTGATAAAAACAGTGATAATAAGAAATACTATGCCATAAAGATGATGTTATCTAAATTCTTGATCAAGTGATAAACTTCATATATTTTATAACCTTTAAGATAAAATTCCTTTTAATTAAGAAACTTAAATCATCTTTAAAAATACCTTATTTTGACAGAATCCAATTAGTTAATTTAGTTATGCTAACCCTTTATTAGGGAGCATGTTGAGTGAGGTAATTCCATTGTAGTAGCTCCTTTGGGTCTTATTTATTAGGAGAGTACATTGATTTATTCAATTTAGCACTATCTTTAGAACTGAAGAATGTTAGCACTTAATCTTTTATTTGGATGAGCTAAAGTAACTAAAATAATACACTTTTAAATTCAAGCAGCTCCCTAATTATTTCATTTTGAATTGAACATGTAAAAATAAGAAAACTTTCCTTACAAAAAACTATGTATTCCATTGAAGTCAGAAACAAAACAAGGATGATTCCCCTTTTCACTATTACTTAACATACTGAAAGACCTAGTCAGTATAACTGATCAAAGTGTATAGATTTAGGGAGGGGGAAAAATGGCGTAGATGATAGAGGCTCTGTTCATTTCTCTGGCAAACAAATCAAAGTTTTGACGAAACAAGGAGCAAATAGCAAGGAAAAATTGCCTGGGATCTAGATGAACAAGCCATATAACTAGGGAGAAATCTAAGAAATCACCCTGCAATGGCAGATGGTAGGACCAGGTGAAGACGCAAGGCTCCCTGTCCGGAGCAGCTGAATGGGACGGAGGAGGCAGCAGCAACAGCTGCAGATACCTCTTAAAGGAGCCGTGTCTGCAAGCAGATTTTTGCGGTGATGGAACTGCTTGCTCTGTGCACCAGTGCCGGTTCGACTACGCAGGGACTTACAAGGCAACATTGAGTTGTCTACGTGAGGGCTGCGGCAAGGCTTTCTTTCTTGCAGAAGTGCTGGCAGTATCCATTGTTCTTCTCTTGAGCCCTACTCCCTCCCAGTGCGTGGACTCAGTGCAGTCATAGCAGAGACACATTAAACTAGATAACAGAGGTTGCCCAGAAGATTCCCTAAAACTCTGCCTCCTCTCACTCGTGGCACCACCCAAGCCACATCAGGTGCTCCTTACTGAGCAGCGCCTAGATTCACACTGGTGGGAACTGGCCTCGGTTTCTGGTGTGGCCTTTTGAAGCAACTATAAGTATAGCATCTGTGGATTGCTTGCTAAATCTTAACAGGTGGCCCCAGAGAGGCACAGGCTGGGGCTAAATTTGGCCTGCAGCTGAACCCCTCTCAGGACTGTGCCACTGGACACCTAATACACAAAGTTGCACTAATAAGACCAAGAGACTTAGGAGCTTTGCTTAGTACATAGAAACAAACACAGAAAAGCAGCCAAAATGGGAAGGCAAGCAGAAACCATATGACGGAACAGAACAGAGATCCAGAAACAACGGAGTCAAGCAATCAAACAAATGCAGAGTTCAAAACACTGATTATAAAGATGCTCAATGAACTTATGGGAAGTGTGGATAAATTCAGTGAGAACTTCAACAAAGAAATAAAAAAAAAAAACATAAAAATGGAAGTGGAAATTATCAAAGGGAACCAGTCAGAAATGAACACATTATCTGAGGTAAAGAGTATATTGGAATCAATAGAATGAATGAAGAAGAGGATCGAACCACTGATATAGAGGATGAAGCAGCCCAGGACACCCAATCAGAATGGCAAGAGAAAAGAAGCTAAGACAATAATAATAATTTAAGGAGCCTATGGGATACAATTAAATGTAAAAACATGTGGTTAATAGGGGTACCTGAAGGGGAACAAGAAGTTGAAGAGCTATTTGAAGAAATAATGATGGAAAATTTCCCTTAGTGAAGGAAATAGACATAAAACCCTAGGAAGCTCAGAGTTTCAGAAAAGATGAACCCAAAGAGGGTTCATGCCCTCTTTAAAGGCCATAACAACTACACAGCAGTAGCTGATTGTTTCCATTAGAGACACCAAAACACATCATAATTGAAATGCCAAAAGTTAAATTCAAATAGAGAATCTTAAAAGCAGCAAGAGAAAAGCAATTAGTTACCTACAAGGGAGCATCCGTAAGACTGACAGCTGATTTCTCAAAAGAAACTATGCAGGACAGAAGGATTTGGCACAAAATATTCAACATGATGAAAACCCAGGATTTACGACCAAGAATTCTTTTTCTAGCAAAGCTGTCATTTAGAGTCAAAGGACAGATAAAGAGCTTCCCAGACAAAAAATAAGCTAAAGGAATTTATCAACATCAAGCCAGTAGTACAGGAAATGTTAGAGAGACTTCTTTAAGAAAAAACATGTATCAAAAACATGAATAAAGAATGATAATAACTACATATTTATCAACAAGTACCTCAAATGGAAAAGAATTAAGTGCTCCAGCCAAAAGATAGGGTGGCTAAATTGATAAGAAAATAAGACCCGTACATATGCTGCCTATGGGAGACTCACTTCATATGAAAAGATACACACAGACTAAAAGGAAAGGGATGGAAAAACATATTGCCTTGATGGACCTAGAAGGTATTATACTGAATGAATTTAGTCAGAGAAAGACAAATATCGAATGATTTCATGTACATGTGGAATCTAAAAAACAGTAACAAAAACGGAAGTGAACTCATAGATAGAGTTTTTTTAAGGGCTACTAAATGGGAGGGGGTTTGGGGGGATGGTGAAAAAGGGCAAAGGGATTAAGAAAGTACAAATGGATAGTTACAAAATAGACATGGAGATCTAAAGTGTAGCATAAGGAAAATAATAATGTAATAAAAGTGTAAGGGGGAAGAAGGGCGATCACTAGATTTAGCAGGGTGATCACTGTGGGTTATATATCTCTAGTCACTATGTTGTACAAGTGAAACTAATATATTATTGTATGCCAACTATAATTGAAAAAATTCATTGACTTGTACAATGTAAATACTAGCAACTAATTGTCAATTATATTTCAATAAAGCCAGAAAACAAAAACTATTGATAGTGTAAATTGGTACAACTTCTTTGAAGGACATTTTGATGGTATGTTATCAAGTAAATATGTGCACCTTTGAGCAGGCAGTTTCACTCCTACAGATGCAGAACACTCAGTAGCGTATATGCAGCAAGATTTATAATGGAATACAGTGCAACTGAAAAAGAATCAAGCTGATCTCTATGTGCTTGTATAGAAAAATCTCCAAGCCAGAGTATTAAATGAAACAGCAAAGGTTTAGAACTTTGGGGTTTTTTGTGTGTGTGTGTATGTGTTTAAGAGAGAGATGTTTAATTTCAACAAAAACATTCTGAGAGGATATGCAAGAAATATAACAGAGGGTTGCCTTTGTGCAGAGGGACTTATTCTCGTGGCATGTCTTTTTATATAGTTTATATTTTTATTACTGTGTGCATATATTACTACCTCTTTCAATAAAAACTAGTTTGTTAATAGTAACTTATGCTGTTACGAGCCCACATTGCCAAAATGTGAAAGAAGTTAAGATTCATATAAAATAATATTGAATGTTAATTCTAATCGAAAAGTAAAAATTAAAAAATAAATACCTTTAACACAAAAAAATTAAGGTTCATTAGAGGTTCTTAAATAAATTTATGATTACATATTTATCTCCATAATATATCATATAAATAATTTTAATCTACCATGAAATTTTTGGATTATTTTTGTGGTTATTTTTATTGTTTGTTATGTTTGAGTATTTTGTAATTATAATTTGTGCTAATAAATATTATATAATTCTTTTGCTAATTTAGGTTTTGTATTCTTTTTCTAGCAAAAAATGGCCCAATTTATGATGTAGTTTGGAATTCTAGTTCTACTGAGTTTTGTGCTGTTTATGGTTTTATGCCTGCCAAAGCAACAATTTTCAACTTGAAATGTGATCCTGTGTTTGACTTTGGAACTGGTCCTCGTAATGCAGCCTACTATAGCCCTCATGGGCATATATTAGTACTAGCTGGATTTGGAAATCTGAGGGGACAAATGGAAGTGTGGGATGTTAAAAACTACAAACTTATTTCAAAACCAGTGGCCTCCGATTCTACATATTTTGCTTGGTGCCCAGATGGCGAGCATATTCTGACAGCCACGTGTGCTCCCAGATTACGTGTTAATAATGGGTTTAAGATTTGGCATTATACTGGCTCTGTCTTGCACAAGTATGATGTGCCATCAAATGCAGAATTATGGCAGGTTTCTTGGCAGCCATTTTTAGATGGAATATTTCCAACAAAAACAATAACCTACCAAGCAGTTCCAAGTGATGTACCCAATGAAGAACCGAAAGCTGCAACAGCTTATAGACCCCCAGCTTTAAGAAATAAACCAAACACCAATTCTAAACTGGTAAGTACAGTTTTACTACTTTGGTAAGAAAAGGCTTTTCAGTGTGTGGAGTTCTCTGGATCTTTTTCACATGCATGTTCTTGTTACTTAGTACCTGATTAGAATATAAAGTCTAGGGTAGAATCCATGGAGAACCTGTTGCTGAAAATGGCGAGCAGCTCATATTGCTAGTTTACAAAATGGTTAATTTAAAACAAATCACATATTGCATCTCTGGGAAAGATAGAACTGAGTATGACATACTGGCATTGTAGCTTGTGGGCTCAAATTCAAATGCCTGTCAGGCTAGGTTGATAATGCAAGGCAATGGTGACCAGGAGAGAATGGTGAATGGGAGAGATCATGCCCTCTTTACAGGCCATAGCAACTGCACAACAGTAGTTGATTATTTCCATAGGAGATTTTAGGCCCAGCTTGCCAAAATACTTGCTTTTTCAAGACAAAACAAGTCTGGATGCTTATGTGAAATTTCTTAATTTCTAAAACACTCCTGCTCAAACAAAACACATTTGTTTTCCTCAAGCCATCAGTTTCCACCTCTGTTGTAAAGTTATGACCAGAGTATTGGTCAGATTCTTATCTGCTTTAAAATGTTGTAATTTCAGAGCTCAGGAGAAAGTTTAATAAATGACCTGAATTTCTGTGATGATGTTAAGGAATAAAGTTGCTCGATAAGTCTATTATTAGAAAAGTGATGGTATAATAGGCATAAACTGGGACTGTTCCAAGTAAACAAGATATATAGTTACTTAATTATTAGGCACTCAGGGAAGTAAATACTTTTTCAAAGAACAAATATTCTTATGCTTCCCTTGTGCCACTCCTAACCCTCTCAGAAACAAAAACAAAGGAACAACCTTTCCTCTTCCATAAAATGTAGCAATGGTCTCTAACTTTTTGACTTCATTGAAATGTTTAAACATTTTCATTGTATTGTTATTTTGCAAATATACATATAACATATTAAAAATTAAGCCCTATTTCCGATGATTGTATTAGATGAGAAAATAAAGTATATTGTAAGTCTTTATATTTGTCCTATATATATATATTGAGATTTTCCTTACCTAAGGTAAAATCAGAAGTAACTTTAACCTAGCCTGCTTTCTGAATCTGTGTAAGATAGCACAAGAGGAAGAAATTCTGAATTGGTGTATATTGTTATCCTCTAGCCATAAAACTAGTTTGTTTTGGTGGAGAGAGGTAGAGACATTAATATAGAAAGATAATAATTTGAAAATAATGATAAAACCAGGTAAGAACTTCTTAAAACCAACATTTTTTAACATTTAAGATTTCCACTAGGGATGGCTCCATAGTGTAGTGGTTAGCATGTCTGCTTCACACACAGAAGGTCCTGGGTTTGCACCCCAAGTAGAGCCATAGACCATACCCTGGGTGTGCCAGGCCCCGGGCGCACACCACAAGCACATGGAAGGAGACGCCTCGCCTTCAGAGATTCAGTTCTTAAGGGGAAACAGCAACATCCATAGGTCAGGAGTGGAAGTGGGGGGTGGGGAGGGGAATTAAAGAGGGGGGAAGAAAAAGATTTCCACTAAATTTCTGCTTTTGTATGTGACATGGTGGTTATACAATCCTAACAAATCGTTTTAGTCGAAGTAACCACTAATGAGATTTTTGTTTGTATCTAATTCCAGAAATTAGGTAAATGACAAAGAAAGTACTGTCAAGAAATACTAGAAACAAAGACATTCTAGTCTATGACTTCACAAAGGAGAGGAGTTACATAATAGAAGGGAGGAAAAAAGAAGGGGTTTTCCCTTTAAAGAGAAAAATTACTTTTTTTATAAGTAAAAATCCATATGTAAATTATACTTAAAGAAGTATTTCTTGGCTTTTCAGAAAACCTTCACTTTTATTATGTGTTTATCACAACAGTTCCATAATAATTGATATAATTGAAGAAACAAATTTTATTAATAAGGATGAACTTGTGTACAATGGTCACCTAGTACTAAAGCAAGAAAAACTTATGTTCTATAGTAGCAGTGGCTTTTGTTTTGTTTTGTTTTTTATAGAAAATGAAAGTCTGTACATGGCCATATGATGCCCATAGTATGGAAGAGATTTGTAACTCATCCTTTCTTACGTCATTTTTAATTGCTTTGCCATTTTTTGAAATTTTTTGGCTTTCAGCCAAAGCAAGGTACTATCGTGGAGCCCACTATGGAAAGAATTTTGATGTGTAATACAAATGTTCAGCAAATATTATATCTTAACTAATATTGTATGCAGTGGGCATAAAAAAGGTGAAAGAGGCTTGCACTCCAAATTTGTCTATTCTACAAATGTGAGTTCTTATATATTCCAGTTGCTTCAAGTAGGATATGTACACACATAGAACTTTGATGATCTCAAATAGTTAATGCAGCTGCTCAGATAAAGTCACTTTATGGTTTCTTATTTATTCCTCTGTATCTTAAATGTTTTAGCCCTGCCCATTTCCTCATAGTCGTTTTAAATACAACACAGATATGAGATCTGTGTTGTATTTGATGTGTTAAGTATAGGAGAATCTAAGACAGTTAACACTAACACAATAGCAAGATAGAATGAATCAATAAGTAGATAATTTGGGGGTTGAGGATGAGAACATTTGTGTTCTACTCATCAAATTTCGCTTATATAATACAGTGTTATCAATTATAGTCACCATGTTATACAGTAGATCCTCATTGATTCTGTACTTAATTCACCCTCTTTCTGTTGTAGAAAATTGATAGATGGTTATCCAATGATGGAAATGATTGTCTATTTTCGTTGAATAGTCTGACAAGTTAGTTTTTTGTAGGCCTCTTTATTGTGTTAATCCTGGATTTATAATTATGCAGTTAACCCTTCCTATTTGATGTTTTCTTACAGTCTGGTTTAGTTTTTCTATTTGCTTTTATTTTTAATTTTTTAACTTCCAAGTTTGCAAATTAAGATCTAGTGAATAATTCTTTGTGCAAAGAAAACAAATGAGGGAACAAGGTTTCGGTTGGCAGTAGTCAGATCCAAAAAGGTTGCAGAAAAAGCTATTTTTGGAGTCATGTGTCAGTAGTAGTACTAAGAAAAATATTGGCTAAACAAAACTAAAGTAAATTTTGCTGGCTTTTACTTGCCATTTCCCATTAGCTAATCGGAAGATCCTCATTAAGTCCATCCTGGCAGTTGGAGTGTACCCACTACTAATCTGAGTTTTGAAATATTCTTTGCCGGTGATCTTAAAATAAATTTGATTTAAAATAAGTTTATCCTATACTAGCAAAATTGTATAATTTGTTGTATATGTTTTTAAAAACATGGACTCTATTTCAAAATTGTTTATTTTACATTTTCCATAGCATGAGGAAGAACCACCTCAGAATATGAAACCACAACCAGGAAATGATAAGCCGTTATCAAAAACAGCCCTTAAAAATCAAAGGAAACATGAGGCTAAGAAAGCTGCAAAGCAGGTATTTGGGGCATTGATCTCTTCAAAACAGAACAAACAAAAGCTGTTAAATTAGCTTTAAGCCTTAAAGTTTTATAGTTCTGAAGACTTGACTGATAATGTTATAAAATGTAGTTGGAGTTAGACTTTGTCAGAATGTCTTTGTTTTGTGTTTGCTTATGGATTTTTAAGTATTTCCTATGTGTATCATAAGGAATCAAGGAAACTGGATCTGACCTTAAAACCTGAAACCCTAATGGGATTATGATGTATGTTACTTGCTGTAGACCTTTTTAATGGAGACTTCGTGAAATGGTATAGTTTGCTTTATAGAAAACTTGTGTTTGTTAAAAGAGATCAGAAACTACATGACTGTAAAGTCATTTTATCAATCAATATTATGTTACTATAGGAAATTATTCAATTTGGAATCTAAACACCAAAAGTACCCAACAATGTAGTTGATCTAAAATGGTATTTTACATAATTTTTGTAGTTGACAAACCACATCATTATAATTGACAAATTGTATGGCTTATATAGTGATAGTGAGATCAGCTGGACTGAGACTATCTGGTTAGTGAAGCCATGGTGACTACATATTTGAGAATCAAGCAATGCTATCTTGCTGGTAATGCTTGAATTTTGACTGTTCTAGCTTGCTTATGTGTTTCGGTAAGCAAGTAATTGTTTTAACGTATAGAATTGCATATGCAAACATATTCTACTAAAAATCTGGGCTTAAAATATCAGCATATTCTTTTGTAGTTAATATAGTTTATCTCCAGAAATATCTTTAAATAGCTTTAAATATCACTGAAATACAAAGGATAATACAAAAATACTATGAGAAATTATACAACACCAAATTTGATAATCTTGGAAAAAATGGACAAGTTCTTAGAAACATACAGTCTTCTTAGACTGAATCAAGAAGAACTGGAAAATCTAAATAGACCGATCAGTAGTATGGAAATGGAAACGATCATCAAAAACCTACGAAAAAGTAAAAGTCCAGGACCAGATGGCTTCACCAGCAAATTCTACTAAACATTCAAAGAAAATTTAATTACCTACTCTCCTCAAACTCTTCCAAAAAAATCGAAGAAGAAGCAATACTTCCTAACTCATTTTATGAGGCCATTATGACTCTGATACCAAAACCTGGTAAAGATAACACAAAAAATGAAAACTATAGACCCATATCTCATGAACACAGATGCAAAAATCCTAAATAAAATGCTAACAAATTGAATACAACAACACATTCAAAAGATTATACACATGATCAAGTGGGCTTCATCCCAGGGGCACAGGGATGGTTCAACATATGCAAATAAATTAATATGGTATACCATATAAATAAAGACTAAAAATAGGATCAAGTCCAATAGATGCAGAAAAAACGTTTGACAAGATACAACATCCATTTATGATTAAAACACTTAATAAAATGGGTATAGAAGGAAAGTACCTCAACATAATAAAGGCCATATATGACAAATCCTCAGCTTACTTAATGGTGAAAAACTAAAAACCTTCCCTCTAAGATCAGAAACTGGACAAGGCTGTTGGCTACCACCTCTGTTATTCAATATAGTATTGAAAGTCCTAGCTAGACCAGTCAGGCAAGAGAAATAAATGAAAAGCAGTCAAATAGGGAATGAATTGTTACTTTTTGCAGATAACATGATTCTTTGTATAGAAAACCCTAAAGACTGTACTAAAAAACTATTAGAAATAATAAATACAGTAAAGTTTCAAGATACAAAATCAATGTTCAAAAATCCATGAATTTTCAGAAAAAGAAATGAAAAAAAAAAATTCCTTTTGCAATTGCTGCAAAAAAAGAATAAAATACCTAAGAATAAACCTAACAAAACATGTGAAGGACCTATACAGTGAAAACTATAAGACATTTTTAAAAGAAATTGAAGATACACAAAGAAACGGGAAGATCTTCCTTGTTCTTGCATTGGAAGAATCAACTGAGTTTATGACCTTATTACCTAAAGCATTATACAGATTTAATGCCATCCCCATCAAAATCCCACTGGCATTTTTTAAAGAAATAGAACAAAAGCCATCAAATTTGTGTAGAAGCACAAAAGACCGGGAACAGCCAAAGCCATCCTGAGAAAAAAGAACAAGGCCGAAGGTATCACTGCCTGATTTCAACTATACTACAAAGCAAAAATAATTGAAACAGCATGGTATAGGCAGAAAAATAGAAACACAAACCAATGGAACAGATTTGAGGGTCTAGAAGTAAACCAATGTTTATATGGGCAAATAATTTTCACCAAAGCCCAAACCATACAATGGAAAAAGGAAAGTCTCTTCAATAAATGGTGCTGGGAAAACTGGAAAGCCACCTGCAAAAGAATGCAACTAGACTGTTGTCTATCACTACACACCAAAATTAACTCAAAATGGATTAAGGAACTAGATATAAGACCTGTAACAATAAATTGCATACAAGAAAACATAAGAACTAAACTCAAGGACCTTGGACTTAAAGAGGATTTTATGAATTTGACCTCAAAGGCAAGGGAAGTAAAAGCAAAAATAAATGAATGGGACTAACCAAACTAAAAAGCTTCTGCACAACAAAAGATACCATCAACAAGGCAAAGAAAGAACCATCCAAATGGGAGAATATATTTGCAAACAACACCTCCGATAGGGACTACTATCCAAAATATATAAAGAACCAATACAACTCAACAATAAAAAAAAAAAATCTAATTAAAAAGTGGACAGAGGACCCGAACAGTCACTTCTCCCAAGAAGACAATAAAGTGGCCAACAGATATATGAAAGGCTGCTCAGCTTCACCTGCTATTAGGGAAATGCAAATCAAAACTACAAAGAGATACCACCTCATACCTGTTAGAATGGCCATCATCAACAGGACAAGTAATAAAAAAGTGTTGGAGAGGTTGTGAGCCAAAACGAATCCTAATGCACAGCTGGTGGGACTGCAAATTGGAGGTTCCTCAAAAAACTAAGAATTGATCTACCATGTGATCCAGCAATCTCTCTACTGGGTATTCACCCCTAAGACTTGAAAACCCATGTCCGAAAAGATACTTGCACACCAATGTTCATAGCAGCATTATGCATGGTGGCCAGGACATGGAAGCAACCAAAATGTCCTACGATAGATGATGGGATAAAAAGATCTGGTACATATATGTAATGGAATATTAGCCATAAGAAAAGATAAAATACCGTCATTTGCGACAACATCGATAGATCTTGAGATAATCATGCTACAAGCAAAATAAGGCAGACAGAAAAGTTGAAAACCATACGATTTCACTCATGTGGGATATAAAACTGAAAGCAACAAACATGACAAACAGAGACTCATGGACATGGACTGTGGGTTAGTGGTTACCAGAGGGAAGGTAGATAGGGGTAAAAGGGATCTAATATTTGGCGGAATGAAATCTAACTTTTGGTGGTGAACACACAATGCAATATATATACGACATACTGTTGAATTGTGCACTTGAAACTTATTTGATTTTATTAACGTCACCCAATAATTTTTAATTCAAAAATTAAATAAAGTCTAAATCAGGGATAAAAAAAATTTAGACTTTCCTAAAGAGAACCCTCATTCTTCTTTTGAAAAAACAATCAGTGCTATTAATGTAAAACATAATAATTACAAAAACACCCCCCACTTCACCCCACCCCACCCCATCCCACACACCCAGAAATCACCCACATGTATTATTTTCTAAAGATGACACTACTAATCTATCGTTTATGGAGTTGCGCTTTGCATGTTTTCCCAGTGATGGCAAAAGTTTTCTACTTGGAAGAGAATCCTTTCAGTATTCATTTTGAGATGAATACTGGGCCGGAGTTAGTAAAAGTTATGGCTGTGCTGTAGAACAACAGTAAATGGTCTGTGACAGTATCTCTCTCTGACCATACTTTCTCAGCCCTGACTCCTAATTAAGTAACCAAAGGAGTCAGAGGTATGTAATCTGAGTACTGGTGATGGTTTTATAAGCTTGTCTTATAAGCTTATAGACTGTACCAAAAAGAATTGAAACTAAAAATTCAAACTTACAGTGTATGTTTCCTTTCTCAGAATGACCAGAATTTAAGTATAATAATGCAGATATTTTAACTTATTCTTGGCTATTTAAAATATAATAGAAAATTAAATTTCATATTTTACTTTAATAGTTTTTTACGTTTATGACATTAACCTTTCTAGTAGAAAAGTATTCTCAACTCCTTACAAACAATTAAATTTAAAAAATTTTTCTCTGATGTCGGAAGTGAATTTTGATAGGCAAACTATCTCTTCTTTTATCCACTCTTCTTTAATTTTTTTATTATGAAAAACACCAAACTGCATGTTATTAGAACTTACAGTCTCCCTAAGAGTAGAAACAAAATCGTTTCTTTCTGAATACTCTGTTAAAGTGCTTAGTATTATATTTGCACATAGATAGTAACAAATTTACATTTGTTGTGTTGGAGTGTACAACAAAAGTACAGCCAACATGACTTTAAAAAGTGAAAGTGATTCTTAATTTTGTCCTGTCTAAAAACTCTCAGATAGACATTTTTAGATTTAGAGATTTAGAAGTGATATCTTTTCCATTTCCCACTCTGGGATGCTTTGGAAATTCAGAGTATTTCATGCAGAACTCTGAGTAAGAGGTTTTGAATTCTTGGGGTTCTATGTATTCCACTGGGAACTCTATGAAGAAGTAGAAACCCTACCTTGAAGCCAATAAAGACTTAAATAACTTTTCCCTCCTCTTGTCAAAACATACATCTTGTCATAATTACAAAAGGAGAGCTTTTTTTTTTTTTTTGCTCTTTAATTTATTTAGCATGTGCAATAAAGCACATATTATGTTGGGGGCACAAGTAGAAGAGTGAACAAGGAAACCTCAGGTACAGTCTAATGGGGAATAGTTGCAATAGAGATACATACCACATGTGCGACTAATCTGATCACTTGGGAGATGGAGAATTTGCTAGGAAGCCTAAGGATAAAGTAGGGTCAGTGAGATGACCTGAAGGTGGAGAATTTGCTAGGAGGCCTAAGGATAAAGTAGGGTCAGTGAGATGACCTGAAGGTGCTCTAGGCAAAAAGAACAGTAAACAAGAGAGGGAAATGCAAAGGCTGGAAAACAAGAGTTCGCATCTCCTTAGGGGAAATAAAAATGGTTCAGAATCAGTGGTTCCTTGGTTAGGAGGGATGAGCCTTGAAAGGTCATCAGAGGTCAGATCACATTGGGAGTTATTAATATAGTATCTCTTTCAAGGGGAAAAAGTTTTCCATGGCACTTTGTTGCAGTGCTGAATTGATCTGATTATAAATAAAGCTCTATAGGATTTATCCTGTAGCATTATCTATTATACATACTCGATCATACATACTCATTATACTTTTAGAGGACATCACAAGAGTAAACTTCAAATACCTTAATAAGAAAAGCCCTCTTACATTTCCAAAACATCCATATAGTGGCATCTCACAAAATATCCAGAAATTTTGAATGCTTGTTGGCTGATACAGAAACCTGGTTTTCTCTAGTAGGTTATTTTATTTCTTTTCATTTGTCATTTTATTATGTTACTAACATAATAAATATTTTAAAAATCTTATTGTTATGTTACTTTAAATTCTAGGTCTAGCACAGTGTTCCCTATGACAATTACATAGTAAAAATCTTTTGGGTATATCATTATACTGTGATTTTTTTTAAGCTGCATTGTACTTATTATTGGACAACGTAGCATACATTATGAAACCTTCAGTTCAGATCCTATCTTTATGTAAAATGTAGTAGAAAAGATAGACTCACATTTTGGTTTCTGCATTTTATATACCCAGGCCATTTTGGTTGAAATACTTTAGTGTTTTCATTTTAGAAAATTGAATTTTTGAAAATATTTCCTGTAGGAAGCAAGAGGTGACAAGAGCCCACCAAATTTGGCACCTACTCCTGCCGCACAGAGCTCAGCAAGAAATACTCTCTCTCAGTCAATTTCTGGAAACCCTGAGGTGGACAAAAAAATCAAGAACCTAAAGAAGGTGAGAAATTTAAATGAAAATCAGATGTATTATTGAAAGAACTACATGGGAATTATATAATGAAAGTAATATTTAGTTGCCCAAAAACAGACATCTTAAGAAGTTTGTCACATTTCTCATTGCTTTCTCACTCTGAAATGCTGTAACTGAGGAATGGCGCAGATTTAAATTCTATTCACAAATGTTTAATGACTACTAGTCTTTTTATTGATTTTTGGACTAGTAAGAAATAATATACAGAAATATGCTGAACACTTTTATACTCCGTATTTAATTAGACACTTGTGAGATAGATAAGAACAGATCTTTACCCCAGTTTCAAAGATGAGGAAACATAGACAAAAGAAGTTTATTAACTTGTCAAAGTACAACAAGTTTGTGGAAGTAAAACTAGGTATCCAGAGCCCTTCTCAGGCTGCACTATGAAGTTTCTTTTAAAGCCAAAAATATCAGTACAGTAAGGTGTTAAAATAAATGGTGAAATTGGTGATATATTTACATACATACATTAAAAGCTTGGAAAATATTTCACTAAATCCCATATTGGTTTTTTTTTCAGAGTCAGAGCATATTTATTTATTTTTAATTTTTCAGTTACAGTTGACATTCAATATTATAGTTTCGGGTGTACAGCATAATGATTAGACATTTATATAACTTACAAAGTGGTCCCCCTAATAAGTCCATTACCCACCTGGTACCATACACAGTTATCACAGTATTGTTAACTATGTTCCTTATGCTGTACTTTACATCCACCCATACTCTTCACGTCTAATTTTACATTTACTTTTAAAAAGTAGTTTACCTTAGCATTTTAACAGACTATTCCTGATATAAATGTTAGATAATTGATTCTCCTTATTCAGGTTTCACATTCATATGATGTCGTTAATAAGAAAATTTTCACTCTAAAATAACTTATTCTTTCTTCCTCTTTTTTTTCTCATGTGTTTGATGTTTGCAGAAACTGAAAGCAATTGAACAACTGAAAGAACAAGCAGCAGCTGGAAAACAACTAGAAAAAAATCAGGTCTTTTCTGCATTTTTGATTTGGGCTCATAGTCACTACTATCCTTCCTCTTTTTATTATAAGCAATTGTATAATTGGGTAAAAGAGCACATAGAATTAAAAACTTCTTTTGAAAACCATATGCCATATATTTTTTAATATATTTTTAAATATATGGCATATGGTTTTCAAAAGGATGGGGGAGACATGATGTAAATCATGGTGAATGAGAAAGTTACTATTTCTAACAGGCATGTTAACGCTATTGCTCCTGAAAATAAAGGCAATTTATTATGTTAGACAAATATAAGAGTTTCTTCCTTTCTATATCTCAGGCTGCACTGTCCTATTTGCCCCTTTCCTTCCTCCTTTCCTCAATACTCTTAAGCCCAAGTATAGAATGGAAAATTTACTAGACCTAAAGGAATGCAGTAAGACAGCTTCTGTCCTTTGCCCCTTGATTCATACCAGATAACAAATTAGAACTTGTTTTTAGTCTATATTTTTACCATTTTATCTGTTTACCAGTGGATCTGGTAAAGTGTCAGAAATACTCTCTAAATTTTTCTTCTTTGCTATTTTGGCTATAGATCCAATAATTATTTTATTTCCTATTTAATAACTTTGTTGTTTTTAACTTTTCTAGTTGGAGAAAATTCAAAAAGAGAAAGTCCTCCTCCAGGAGCTGGAAGATTTGGAATTGGATATTTAAAGGTTCATGGAAAGCAAGTTGGTTGTCAGAAATTAGTGCAAACACATCTTCTGTTAAGCTCATTGATATATATGGAATATTATATGTCCACATTTAATGTTCATTTATAATTTTAATCATTCAAAATACTACATCTGTTCGAAATTATTTAATAATGCCTATTAAATTGATTTTTGCTTCCTGCATCCTCTATCATGTCAACATATGATATAAAAAAGTGAATTTTCTAGCTAAGCTTGACCGATTGAAAGACAGATGTCATCGTTTTTTTTAGTAGGAGATAGTATTTACCATATAAATAAAGACCTTTCAAATTTAATCAATTTTGACTTTGTTATAAGTTTCTCAAGAAGTCCTTTATTAATTTACAAAGCAAGTTTGGGAAAATTGTCCTTTAAATATATAATATGGCTTTCTTGATCCTAAAATATCAAAACTCTAAAGAAATCTTTAAAAATCAGATTGTAGTAAAATATGTTAAATTGTTTATATTGTTTGTATTATTTGAAGTAAAGTTTGCTTAGTTCTAAAGTATAGACTTTAAAAATAGAAAATACTAAAATATTTTATTTTGATATTTCAAATAATAAATGTAGTAATCTAAGGGTGAGGTAAATATTTTCTAAACATAAACTATGATTGTTTTGGTTGTCTTTTCACATGACCGAAAAAAGATGTAATGATAATCCAAGATACTTGACTATCAAAACTAATTTATATTTGGTTTGGGAGTCTGTTAACGATTAATTTTTTTCATCAGGTTTACATTTGAAATTATTATTTCATTTGCATTGATACAGGTTTTTATTTCCCAAAACCTGATAGGTAAAAGAAAATAATCTAGAAACACTTTGAGAGAGACATATAAACAGATAACTGAGTTTACTGATGCCTCAAAGTATAAGATTTGGTAAAGACCTAATGCATTAACATTGAGTGGTATTTTAAATGTTTTGCGTGTGGATTGTGTGTGCATGCATACTCATGTCCATATAATTGCTTTCAACATTAATTTATTTCTGCTAATAGAAACTGATGCAGAGAAATTACTTTTACAATATATTTTTTAAATTGTTTTTCTAATAAACTGTTAAATAATGCATCCTGAGACAGCGTAATTTTTTTTTTGGCTTAGCAGTTTAACAGTTTTTTAAATTAATTACTATTTATGACAGTTTACAATCGACTTATTAATCATTTTAAAATGTTTATCAGAGGCAGTATCATTGAACTTTTTGTTTTAGTCAGATGCTTTTTAATTGTTCAAGGATGATTGTTCCTACCAAAATTCTTAGACTTTTTTGTTTTAGAAGTTTTTTTTGTATCTGTAATGATTTAATCTATTTAATTCTCTATAAATTTCTGAGCACACTGAAGTGTTCTTTGATTACTCATTTTGTTTGTTTTTTATTTTAAATGTATTATCCTCTGGGAGTAAGAGTAAGATGATAGAAATAAAAAAGAGTGGATGGTGATGAAAATCTGCTTGAAAATGAAATTTAAATTACAATAGTCCCTTCTTATTTGAGGAGGATAAGCTCCAAGACCCCCTGTGGATGCCTGAAACTACAGATAGTACAGAACACTATATATACTGTTTTTTTCTATACACACATACCTATGATAAAGTTTAATTTATAAATTAGGCACAATAAGAGATTAACAATAATAAAATGGAACAATTATAACTATATTATAATAAAAGTTATGCGAATGTGGTGTGTCTGGCTGGCTGGCTGGCTGGCTGTCGCTCTCTCTGTTAAAACCAATCAGATAACCGAGACAGCTATCAAGTGGCTAACAGGTGGGTGGTAGCATATACAGTGTGGATATGCCGGACGAATGAGTGATTCACATCCTAGGCAGGATGGTGTAAGACTCCATCACACTACTCAGAGTGCTGTGCAAATGAAAACTTATGAATTGTTTATTTCTGGAATTTTCATTTAATATTTTCAGACTGCAATTGACCACAAGTAACTGAAACCATGGAAAGCAAAACTGTGGATAAGGGAGGACTACTGAATTTCTTTGAGTTAGTGAGATACTAGAAAGACAGCTAGGAATATTAAGAATTCTTCTTTAAGTGAGGTTTCAAAGCAGTTTCAGAGTTCATCCACTTTATAAATACATTAATATTCAGAGCAGAGCAAACTGGCAAGAATTTATAAGTAGTGAAATGACAGGAATGAGTATGACAAACTTGCTGTTTTAGTATTGCCAAAATTAAGTGTTTTATTCTGGAAGGAAAGAGCAATAGTGGAATAAGCCCACAGCAGGTGCCTATTTTTAGGGTAATCCTCAGCTACTAAGACCATGAAGTCAAACCAGATTTAGAAGAAATAACCTTCACACTTTTTAAAAAACTACATAGATCAATTCAAGTATTTATTGGGTACAGTGCAGGTTACAAAGGAATATATATATCATCTAGTAATATGTAGTTATTTGTATATATTTGTATATAAGATTGGTTCATGAGTGAAGGAGAAGAAAATCGAAGCTTCAAGTCTTGGTACCAAAAGATGTGGTGAGGTATCTCAGTTCATTCAGGCTACTGTAACAATACTATAGACTGGTTGACTTATAAACAGACATTTATTTCTCATAGTTCTGAAGACTAGGGAATCCAGATTCAAGATACCTTCGAATTTGTTTGAGGTTTTGCTTCCTGACAGACATCTTTCTGTGCCGGCAAGAAGCAGGAAGTAGCTCTGCCCTGATGACCAAATCACTGCCTAGAGGCCCCACCTCCAAATGCCATTACCTTGGAGATTAAGTTTCAATATGAATTTGGGGGGACAAAAACATTTAAGTTTTTAGCACCAGGAAAAGTCATTAAAACAAGCATTCAATATATATTGATTAGAAAAAATGATGGGCTATATTACTCCGATGTTTCTTGTTCCCATCTCCTGTGCATGTAGGTGAATTATATTTCCCCATTCTCTTGAAGGGGAAAGTAGATAAGTGACTTGCTTTAGCCAATGAAATGTTAGGGAGAAGTGAAGTGTGTCATATTTGAGCAAAAGCACTTAAGAGCTAATGCATGATTCTTCATACCTACCCCTGCTGTGGTGGACCCTGAGGCCTGGGGTTGAGATAGCACTGTCTCTTCAGGTAGGTCTCTTCATGTTGGACTTGTAACATGAATGAGAAGTAACCTTTTGTTTTTAAGTCATGAGAGTTTGGAGATGTTTTTTATCTCCACAACTTAATCCAGTAATTCCCAAATTTTGTTGCACAATAGAATCATCTGGGGAGCTTTTACAACACCAAATGACCAAATCCTTTTTCATATCAATTAAATAAAAATGTCTGGTCATGGGAATCAGGTGTCAGTATTCTTTAAAGATTCCCTAGGGGAGTCCAGTGTATTAAGTAAGATTGGGAACCATAGACCTAGCCAATGCTATTCAGTGTCCTACAATATTAATATATTCATGAAAATATATGTGAAATTCAAGTGATTTCTTTTTCTGTTGTAGGGTGTGTTCATCCCTACAGAGCTTAAAATATTGTTTTACACTTTGCATTATGGACACTAACAATATAATATTTCATTTGATTTTAACGTACTTTTTTATTTATATCCAAACACATCAACAAACCTGTGGGCATCTGGTGCTAAATATTTTCCAGTTTGGACACACCTAATTTCATCTTTTCTTGGTATTAAGTTTTTTTTTTTTAATTTGTTGGGATAACATTGGCTGATAACATAATTTTATAAATTTCAGGCATACAACTATAATATGACATCTGTATACTCTATTGCGTGCTCACCACCCAAAGTCTAGTTTCCTTCTATCACCATATATCTGAGCCCATTTACCCACTTTACTCTCCCTCTCCCTTTGGGAACCATCATTCTGTTTGTATTTATGACTTTTTTGTTTGTTTATTTTTTTATTATGGTGACATTGATTAACGAAATCCAGTAAGTTTCAGGTGTACAATTCAACAGTAAGGCATATATGTACATTGTTGCATTATGTGTTCACCACCCATAGTTAGATTTCTTCCTGTCACCACATATTTGACCTATTTTACCCATCTACTGCCCTCCTCCCCTGCCCCACCCTCTGGTAACCACAGTCTATTGTCCATGTCCCTGAATCTCTGCTTGTTTGTCCCGTTTGTTGCTTTTAGGTTTATATCCCACATGTAAGCGATATCATGTGGTTTTCAACTTTTTCAGTCTGGCTTATTTCACTTAGCATGATTATCTCAAGGTCCATCCAGGTTGTCACAAATGGCAGTATTTCATCTCTTCTTATGGCTGAGTAATATTGCATTGTATATATGTACCACAGCTTCTTTAGCCAATCATCTGTTGTAGGACACTTTGGTTGCTTCCATATCCTGGCCACCATGAATAATGCTGCTATGAACATC